CGTCTGTGGTCGACCGTCACTGACTCGCGGTCGACCGCCAGGCTGACTGGCAGTTCTCCTGGACTTTTTGGACTATGCTCTTCGTGATTCCAGCTTCGGCTTCAACTTTGGGTCTACACTTTAGACTAAAAATCTCCCACTTGGAGACCAAAGTGCCATCAGTGAGTTCACCCGGACTCTCCCCTTCTTCGCATGTATCTTCTCCTCCCCCAAAAAATCCTTTCTTCAATCAACAATATCCCGACGATCTCTCTGATCCTTGTAGTGTGGCTCCGCCTTCGTCTTCTACTCGTGAAGGCCAACTGAAGTTGCGCACAACTCCAGTTTCTCAATGGTGACTGCCTTCATCAACATGTTCGTCGGATTTTGACTCTCTAAAATCTTCATTAAGTGTAACTTTCCGTCTTCAACTAGCGAGCGTATAAAATGATATTTGACTTCGATGTGCTTCGTTCTGGCATGATATACTGGATTCTTGGCAAGATGTATAGCGTTCTGACTATCATAATAAAGAACTCCACTCCCTTACTTCAGATCCAACTCTTCCAAGCACCCGTTGAACCAGATCATTTCCTTGCTTGCTTCGGTCATCGCGACATACTCAGCCTTGGTTGTAGATAAAGTCACAATCTTCTACAGACGTGAGACCCAGCTCACTGCTGTCGACGCTAAGGTATAAACATACCCCGTAGTGCTTTGCCTCGTATCATGATCACCGGCGAAGTTCGCATCCACGTATCCCTGCAGCACCAACTCCTTCCTCCTGAAACATAGTGGTTACTTCATTGTTCCCCTCAAGTACTGCAATATCCACTCCACGGTCTCCCAATGCTGCTTCCCTGGATTGCTTGCAAATCTGCTCACAACTCCCACTGCATGAGCGATGTTCGGCCTCGTGCAAACCATCGCCTACATGAGACTCCCAATGGTCGAAGAATATGGCACTCTGCTCATATGCTCTCTATCTACATATGTCTTAAGCGATTGATCCTCGGATAGCTTGAACTGACTTCCAAGGGGCGTGCTAACAACTTTAGCATTCTGCATATTGAACCTCTGAAGTACCTTCTCAATGTATTCACCTTGGCTCAATCTTAACGTCCCTTTAGCTTCATCCCTACTGATTTGCATCCCTAGAATCTGCTTTGCTGCACCCAGATCTTTCATTACAAACTCCTTTGCTAGCTGCTTCTTCAAACTATTTATATTTTCTAAACACGGTCCTGCTATCAACATGTCATCAACATATAATAACAAGATAATAAAGCTGGACTCGAACATTTTGAAATAATAGCAATGATCCGAATTGCATTTTCTGTAGCCATTGTTTTGCATGAAGTTATTAAACTTCTTGTACCACTGTCTTGGAGCCTGTTTCAAACCATATAAGCTCTTCTTGAGCTTGCACATCATCTCTTCATTTCCTTCTTCAATGAAGCCAACAGGCTGCTTCATATAGATTTTTTTATCCAAGTCACCATGAAGAAAGGCAATCTTCAGTTCTAACTACTCAAGAAAGAGGTCTTCTGCATCTACCAAACTCAACACCACTCTGATGGTTGTGAGCTTTACGACAAGGGAAAATATCTTCGTGTAGTCCACTCCTTCCCGCTGTTAAAACCCCTTCACTACTAGTCTGGCCTTGAATCTCTTGCTTCCATCACTCTCCTGCTTGACCCGGTAGACCCATTTGTTATGTAAGGTATTCTTCTGTGCAGGTAGCTGGGCTAACTCCCATGTCTCATTAGTGGGTAGAGAATCTATCTCCTCCTGCATCGCATGCTCCCACTGCTGAGGTTCACTTACTTGCATAGCCTCCTCATAGCACTCAGGTTCACCGCTATCTATCAATAATAAGTAATCAAGAGATGAAAGATATATGGTATTTGGTTTGGGTACCCTGGATGACCTCCTAAGCTCCACGCCCTGGGTAGTTACTTCTGCACCTGGAGCCTCATCCGTTCTATGGTCAGGACAAACATCATCACCCCTATCTGAAAGTTCCTCTAAATCTATATACTCGGAGCCACCTGCATCCGTAATGTTGCTCCCACTATTTTGGCTATCTTGGCATTTTCCTTGTTCTTGTACATCACATCCTCATTGAATATCGCATCCCTGCTTCTGATGATCTTCCTGTTCTTCTCATCCCAAAGACGATACCTGAACTCATCAATGTCGTATCCAATGAATGTGCACTTCTGTGACTTAGCCTCTAGCTTGTCTCTGACATGGTCACTGATATGAACATAAGCCACGTAACCAAATACCCGTAAGTGTGAGAGATTTATCTTCTTTCCACTCCAAACCTCCTCTGAAATCCCAAAATCCAATGGAACTGATGGCCCATGATTAATAAGGTAAGCTGCCGTATGCACCGCAACCGCCCAAAATATCTTAGGCAGACCTGCATGTAATCACATGCTCCTGGCACGCTCCGTCAAGGTTCTGTTCATCCTCTCTGCAATGCTGTTCTGCTGCGGTGTCTTTGGAGTAGTCCTCTCTAAATGAATACCTTTTGTAGCACAAAACCTCTTGAACTCCTTCAGCTCATACTCTTCACCATTGTCTGACCTCAGACACTTCACATTCAGATTTGTCTCGTTCTCCACCATGGCCTTCTACTTCTTGAAGACTCCGAACACATCTGACTTGTGTTTCATAAAGTATACCCACACCTTCCTCGAGTGATCATCGATGAAGGTGACATAATATCTCGAACCGCCAAAAGAAGACATACTGGCTGGACCCCATACATCTGTATGAATCAACTCTAGCTTCTGAGCCTTAGGTGGCCTTCCACCCTTCTGGAAACTAACTCTCTTCTGCTTCCCAAAGATGCAGTCTTCACAAACCCCGATTTCCACGGAGTCGATCCCGGTTAGCTTTCACTGTGAATGTAAGATATTCATCCCCTTCTCGCTCATGTGCCCTAGCCTGTTGTGCCACAGATCTGTACTCTCTTTGCCAGCTATAATTGTGAGGATGTCACTCGCATATAAGGTGAGATAGAGAGTCCCTAGTTTGTTGCCTCGAGCAACTATCATCGTACCATTGGAGATTCTCCACGAATCCCCTGTGAATATCGAAACATAGCCTTCTGCTCCAAGCTATCCCACCGAAACAAGATTCCTCTTTAGCTTCGGCATGTGTCTCACATTCTTCATGGTCCGCTTAGAGCCCTTCATCTGAATCTGCACTTCACCCTTTCCAACAATATTACAATGCTCGTTATTCCCCAAATAAAATTTTCAAAGTCTCATGCTACATAATTCTGGAGAAGCTTCCTGTTAGCAGTGGCATAGAAAGAGGCTCCTGAGTCGATGACCCAAGAATCCGAGTCGCTATCCATAGCAAGATCAAGGCATCCTGCACGATATGAGTCTCCTGCTCACCCGTATCCTTCTTTGGACTCTTGCAGACTGAAGACATATGGCCCTTTTGACCGCAGTTCAAACACTTCCCTTTAATAGGCCTAACCTTCGAGTTCGACCTCTTCTTTATTGATTTCGACCGATTCCTGTTCTGGTTCCCTTTCTTCTAGCTTCTGTCTCTTTGCTTGAAATTTAGGGCTGAACCTGAACCTTCTAATTCAGACGATTTCCTTCTAACCTCCTCAGATAGAATCATGCTAACCACCTCATTCAGCTTTAACTTTTCCTTCCCTACCGAATTGCTGATTGCCGTCATACAACCTGCCCAACTATCTGGCAACTGCGATAGTAATAAAAAGGCCTGCACTTCGTCATCAAACGTGATGTCTACGGAGATAAGCTGATCAACAATCGTGTTGAACTCGCTAAGGTGTATCGTGAAGGACCGTCCTTCTTCCATCTTGAGGTTGAAAATAGTTTTTACCAGATGCACATTGTTTGATGTCGATGGTTGCTCGTACATCTTCGCGAGCACTTCCATAAGCTCCACCATCGTCTTCTCCTTCAAGATATTATGGGCTACTGATTTGGCAAGCGACAACCAGATTTGCCCTAGAGCCTTCCTATCCAGTATCTCCCAATCATCATCTGATTCCTCTTTCTTGTGTCCCTTATCATTGCCCATCAACGGGCGATACAAGTCATTATGGTACAGATAGTTCTCCATCTGCGACTTCTAGTAGGCGAAGTCTGAGCCGTCAAACTTCTCGATCTTAGAATTGATTTCCTCTGCCATGACTTTCACACAAATTGCTGAACTAAACTCTAATACCAGTTGTTGGGGATTCGAAACAATCAAATCGAACCCTTGCCCTTCCGGACCTTGTGTTAAAAGTAGGAAAGTAGGAAAAGGGATTCGAAACAATCAAATCGAACCCTTGCCCTTCCGGACCTTGTGTTAAAAGTAGGAAAGTAGGAAAATTCACCACAAATAAAGATCAAAACTTGCAGGAATAATAAAGGAGACGAACACACAGATTTAACGAGGTTCAGTAGCGTGCCTACGTCCTCGGGAGCCACACCATACAATTCTTTTATTGATTGAAGAAGAAATACAAGCTCTCAAACTAGGGTTTTATTTCTCTGAAAACTCTCTATCAAAAGCTCTCTTTTGATGGTTTTCTGATGCTTAACAAACCCTAAAAAACGTTTGGGTATTTATATCAAACCCAACCCAAACAGGTTTCCTGAACTCATAAGGAATCTGGCAAACAGCGTCGCGGTCGACCGTGGCGGTCGACCGCGCAAAAGGTTGACCGAACCAAAACCCGAGAACAGAAAAACATTACAGGGTTGGCCGGTCGACCGCCGCGATCGACCACCTTCAGCTCCAGCCTCTCCCTAACTCCTGTGCACGTTCTTCGTGATTCCAGCTTCGACTTTAACTTTGGGTCTACACTTTAGACTAACAAAAGGCGGCTTTTACTAATTAAATAAAATTTAGGTTGATTTTACTAATTTAATATTAAAAATGACTCTTTTTAAAAATTTGTCACATCCAGAAAGGATATGTCGGCTGCGGCTTCGCCGTGCTTCTTTGCTTTGACCAAAGGAAACAATTTCTTCCTCGTTCACCGTCTTTTTACCCCTGGCAGATCGCCTCTCCCCCCTCTCTCGAAACCATCGATTGAATCCTTCTCTCTCTAATATTGAAGCCCTGTGTCTCCTTTGAATAATCAATTTTTCTTTAAAGATGGAGCGAATCATTGGAGGGAAGTACAAGTTAGGGCGCAAGATCGGCAGTGGATCCTTAGGCCAACCATGACCCGACCCGACCCGACCCGTTTGCCACCCCTAAATTAAATCCCTCAGTCCGTCGATCGATTTAAACCTCAGTGCGAAAATTGTAGAAGGGAGGAGGGGGGGAACATCTCACTCTCTCTATTCGTTTCTCAATATCTTTATTTTCCAAACTTTGAACGATGCAGGTAATCCTACTTCCAAAAAAAAAAAAAAAAAAAAAATCTGGATTTTTAGCTTCTTTTCTACCGCAACTTTGCCCAATTTTATTAAGTCTTAACCCTATGAAGACCTAATGTTAGCTTCAACTAGATAAATCTTTTTTGTTGCTGTAATCTCTAAAGCTTTATAATTTCTTAAATTCGAACTAGGAAATATGGAGTTGAATCAAGATGAGATTTTGTGCAAGTAGTCTACCGTGAAAAGGGTTTCTAGGGTTTTATGTTGATGATCAACAGAAACCTGCAGATACAATTAGGCGCATTTCAAGTTGTACGAGGAGAGTTTTGAGCCATGATTCAAATCCTGATTTAGCTTCGTTGATGAAATTTCTTTCAACAAGTTGACGTTTACTTTGTGCGGCGCTGCCGCAGTAGAGAGTATATACTGGCTATATTGCTTATAATTTTTGGCAAACATTGTAAGTATAATATGATTAATTGTGTAAACTACACTTCAGTTTTGCAAAAGGTATAATCATTGTTTTAGTTCTATGTTTCATGTCGCTAGGCAGTATTTTCCCAAAAGAACAAGTTTGTAGTTAGTTTTATGTAGAAAAGCAAAGTGGGTATATAGTTTTGAAGTGTTTGGAGTGAGGTTAGCCTGTATCACCTTCCTTTGTGCAATGACTGGTTGCATTCAGATAAGAATGATGCAGATTTGAATTTATGGAAATTGATTGTTTGCATTCTAGTGCTTGCATTTCGTAAGACCTTAAAACTAATGCATGTTTCAATAAGTGATGAATTATATAGAAGTTGCTCAGATAAGATGAAACCTGGTTATTTGGAATATTGTTTGAAAAGAAGTAATTGATGGGTCAGGCCATTAGTATTAGGGGTATACACTAGAACAAACACTAGACAAAGGACTTATTTGGAACTACAGAGGTTAGGACATGAAACTTTCTAATGATAAAATGTTTAAAAAAAATTGAAGGGCTAAATTTTCGGAACAAAATATTAATTCTATCAGGAAAGTAGATCTCTGGAGAATATGAACTATAAATTTTCATTATTGTGGATTAGTAAGTTGGTCGAGTGAAGAAAGTAGATCTCTGGAGAATATGAACTATAAATTTTCATTATTGTGGATTAGTAAGTTGGTCGAGTGAAGATGCACAAAAGTCGCAGACAAATAACTATAAATTTTCATTATTGTGGATTAGTAAGTTGGTCGAGTGAAGATGCACAAAAGTCGCAGACAAATAAGAGGTAACATCTTATAAACTTAGTTGGTGTGTGACTAATTAAATATTGAAAATAAATATTACTATATTAGGAAAGAATAAAGCTAAGAAAGCGGTTAGCGAAACTATATTTTTGGCACATAAATAATTTATGTAAGAACTTGATAACATATGTTAATGTTTGTAAAGCTAATACAAAAAAGAGCCGAGACACATAATATCAATTGTTTGAAGTATAAGTCTTACAAGTCCTAATCAGTGCTTTAAGAAGTAGTCTGGACTTCGAACTCCATGGATAGAAACAATTCCAAAGCCAACTTCGTTATTTATTGATGTTACCACTGATACTACTCATTGCTTCTCTGTGCCCCTATTTTACCCTTTTTCTTTTGGCCATTTCATACTGATGGCGTTATGCTAATATATCGGAGGCAATGGTTATATTAGTAGCAATAGAGAATGTTTTATAGGTTTTATTTCTTCATTCTTCACTATTCTTTTTCTTCTTTCAGTGAAGTGTCATCTATGCTCCATGTTGCCCTAGCCACCCTGCAATAATTAAGATATTGTATAGCATGAGTCCTATTTATAACAGAATAAAAATATACTTTGTAAAGATGAAAATTGAAAAGTTGTAGGATGTAGTAATATTTCTCTTAGGTGTCAAAATATTTGGAGACTTGAGGAGTAGGGTATGACAATCTTATTCGTAAGATTTGTTAATGGAGAGACACTTTTGTGTTTTTTGAAAGACTAAAAGATTTATTCAAAGTTGTAAATCTATCGGAGATTAGTATATAACCAAGTAATGGTTAGGAGTAATCATGAGGGAAAGTGAAGAGGATGTTTTACTTAGAACTAGGACAAACAAAATGTAGATTGTTTTTGGAATAATATGTGATCATCGAATAGCATTAAAGTTGAAAAAGAAAGTATAAGGTGCTTATATGACAAACAAAACTTTATTGTTCACTATGTTTGGCAATTAGAACCAAACACTTCTATAAAATAAGTGTAGTTGACATGAGAAGGTTGATGGATAAATTGAGAGCGTAGAGAGAAAGATAAGGAATAAATGTGTCCGTTAGATATTAGTGAAAGCTTTTCTTGAGTTTAGCATGATTACAAAATAAGGTAAATTCGATTGCATTGGTATGAATATGGTCGAGGTGGATAAATACACCAGTTGGGAGTAGATAATGGAGTGTCAAAGGAATATTGATGGACCACAATGATCATAGTCAGGTAATGAAAAGGAATTATCGTTGTAGCTTACCTAACAAGGCTTTTAATTAGTTTCTATGAGGAAAAACTATAGTTTTGATACAAAATATTGGGACAAAGGTTGTTCTATTATGTATAATAGTTCTACAAACTATTACTTGACAACAAATCCCTATAATGAAGATTTCAACTCATTGAGGGAGTAACTGAGCCAAGAAAAGGAACTATCATTTCGAAAATCATTTTGGTTGATGCAAAAGAGTACTTCTGAAATTATTTATTAAGAGTCTAAACCTGTTGATGTGATTAATTGATTAGAAAATGTTGCAGGATTATCCTAATGGAGATAGTGTGGTTTAAGAAAGAAACAAGTTTCATGTAGTTATATTAATGAAGACATGTATGATGGAGGATGAGGGCATGTGAACAGTTGGAGGAGAAGCGAGCTCCCTTCTTCAGCATCTTAGGCTTGCATCATTGTTTACATTAAGTTTAACTGTTACTCAGGGTTACCCACGCATGAGTTTACTAACCATATTCAGTTTGTGGTCGCCAACTCACTATCTCAGCATCCTTTTCCCCATTCAGCAATACTTGTAATGTTCTGTCAACATAATTACTAGAGCATCCTCTCAAATCATCCACCTTGACATGCAGTGTTGTAATTTATTATTATTTTAATTAATCTAGAAAATAACAGTCACACTCATGCTTTCTTTTTGATATTATATCTTCAAACTGAATCTTTTCCATTTTGTTTCTTACTGAAACTATTCATATTTGCCCAGGCCAGTGACAGATTTAATATTAATTCCCAACTTGAGCATCTTCAAGCTAAATATGTTGGGACTGGGCATGCTGATATGAGTAGATTGTAAGTTGCCGGTGTTTGCTAATATGTTTCTTCCTAGTTTCCATTGTTTAAGAACATTTTTAGGTTTATTGATCTCTTGTAACTGCAGTGAGTGGGCAGTTAACATCCAACGTGATAGCTACGCATCTTATGTTGGCCACTACCCCCTTTTGGCTTACTTTGCTGTTGCTGAAAATGAATCAATTGGGAGAGAACGCTACAATTTTATGCAGGTACGACATAGATAAATATCTTTCTTGTATAGTGCGTAGGATTTGCCATTTATATTTCCTAATTTCAAATTTTAAAAATCTGATCATCTTGCATCATGATAACATAACATCACTTTGGACTGGATATTTACTTTAATAGTGTAATTATATATGGAAATGACAGAATTAAGCAGACTGATTCATATATTGGTTGCATTCTTTATATATAACCTACTTGCAAATCTTCTCCTCCTAGCCTATACAGAAAGGCCCTCAAAGTCAAGGAGTGTACTAGATGCAGTAACATCTGTAATTTAACCTCACACAGCAGGGTTCAGATTAAAATATCTGCTGGTGTAATGATTTCATCACAGATGAGTGGCTAAGAAGCGTTTTTAGAGACATGTAGATAGATACAAGTACCTACACTTCAGATGATATTTGTGTCCACAAGGCTCTTTTCTGCTAGGGTATCCAAGAAGAACAGAGTGGGTACAATAGGAATTGTTAGCCTGAACACCTGGATTGTCCACAATGTCTAATTATTATGCTCTGTGTTTGTGATGGTTAACTTAACATCTTGAATGTGGAGCATTAATTTTACTACATCCAAAAAAAATAGCAAAATCCTGAATTAGCCAGAAGATGAGGTCTCACATATCATAAAAAATTTAACTCAAATTTCTTAGTCTTGTTGCATAGGTGATGTGGACATTTTATGTGTTTTTTTTTTCCATCCATGGGATGTTGATCTGGTCAAGGCACTCGGTATGACACATGTAGCACAAGTGTTAAAAACATACCAACGTCCAGAGGAAACTTGGAAAGCGTGTTGGTATATCCTTCAACTTCAACGTTAAAGGTACCCTAGTTAGATGGATGGGTTTTTTTCACTAGTAACTGGTAGGCTTCAGCTAAAAGATGAGGTGGTTCAACTTGTTCTTGACCATTTCTGCTTCAATTTTTTTAGATCCTTGTTTGTCTCTTTGTTTCAGGCATGCAACTAAGAATACTCATCTATGATGTGTCATCAGTGTATATATGTACTAGCTTTAAGGATGTTAACTGTATTTCATGTCATTGATTGTTAACTGTATTTCATGTCATTGATTCCTACTGAAGGCTATGGGACACATAGAGCAAGATAATATATATATGTTATACCCTTTTTTTTCTCTTTTGGCTAGTCTGATAAGCATCTTTTGGATGGACAAGAGCCCGCACTTAGGTCAATCTCATAATTTCTAAGACTTCCAGTTCCATGTATGTGAAGCGAATTCCTCTGTTTGGTTATAGTTCGCTAGCAACTGTTCCAGTCACATTTGTTTCAGGTATTTGAATGGAGACTTTGAATGCAGTCATGCACCATCTTGATAGCTAACAAATATATTTCATTTTTCACATAGGTAACTCTTGTAGAGAAAATCATCTGCAATTGATAATTTCATTTGGTAATGTGGATCCTTGACTGGGGAAATAAGTATAATTAACATACTTGGTGTCGCCATTTACTATTGTCCAATAATCTATCACACCCAAATTACATGGTGTTAGATATCAACGCCTTGAAGGTGAACTATGTTTTACCGCCTCTCTGCTATGTTTGAATGCAGAATTGAATGACTTGATTTAATGTTCCTATACCCATATTTCCAGGGTATAAAAGACAAATCACTTAGGAACAATACATAGGATCAAATAGGATTCTACTCCCAGTGTGAGACCCATCCATGATTCCTGATTTTGGTGAAGATGTCTAGAATCAGATTGAGTAAAGTTACGGACCTTGGTGTCACAATGTCCTGACTTCAGTAAATTTTTAAATGTTCCTTCACTGTACATTGCATAGTACCCTATTATCATGGGGGTGACATGTTCAGATGCAAGCTTCTCTGGTTCTGCAGTATTCTATTTAACTCTACTTTGTCAGTGGACAACCATGCATGTTAGTACCCTAAGCTGTCCAAAACTAGCATGTTACTACCCTCTGCTAGTTGCATATGAGAATATTCCTAGGAATATCCACATGTGCTTTTCACATGTCATTTTTGAAATTTTTTTGACCTATTTATTGTTTTAATTACAACTTTAGCTACCCTTCATCTTTTTATTAAATTCTACTCACTTATTTTTTTAATACCTAATTTCCTTCAA